GGCAGGGGTGGAATGGAGTGACGTGGCCACCTCTTCCGAGTGTTGAGATATGACTTCTAAACTCTAGCCCTTGACGATGGTTTGTTTGGCCAAGACCCCATCCTTGACCTGCGCCGTCCCCGCTGTAGGAATGGACTCTCTGGAGAGCACAGCGTTTGTTCTCACCAGCCTGAAAGCTGTTCACCTCTGGGCAGGCTCGAGAGGACCCTTCCGGAAATCAGGCACAGTCGCCTGGCTGCCCTGCACCCCCATGCCAACCCCGTACCCACTGCCAGTGCAGGAACTGTCCAGGAACTGTGCCATTGGCTAGGCAAGAGATGAATCCCAAATCTCTTGATTTTTATTTATTTATTAGCACATTTTATATTTGAGGACCCTAAAGAAGAGGGTAAATGCCCAGTCTTCTTAGACTGCTATGTTTAAAAACAATACACACACACACACACACACACACACACACACACACACACACACATTATAAAGCAACACATGCCAGTTGAGAAATTCATGAAAGTATATAGAAAGAAGAAACAACACCCAGAAGCTATTCCTCCAGAATAGTGAATGGGACGATTTCGAGGTGATATCTTCCAGATCTTTCCCACATATCAGGCACCCTATGGAGTCAGATGAGGAAAAGGGTGACTTACTGAATGCCTTCTCTTGGGTTACTCCTGCCTGATGGTGATGGCAGAAATGAGGCAAGCTCAAACCACCAATGCCTAGAAGTCCAGCAAGCAACCAGGAAGTGAGCTGTATCTTTGGCCTTCTGTGAAAGATACTTACCTTTGTCTTTTCGTGTCTACAATACAACAAACTCCTCTGCCAGGACAGGGACGACCTCAAACACAGGTGGAGGAGAGCCCTCATGACACCAGGCCGCTGGTGTAGGTGTGCTTCCTGAACGAGCTGATGTCAATTCCAGAACCCGGAGGTGAGACTGTTATCATTGACTGTTTCCTCCCTGTCCTGGGCTACTCGGTGCCCAGACTTGCACCTTAGGAGAGGCACAGAGGCTGTCCCTGGCTGTGCTGGCTTCCCCTGCCTGGGAAAAGCCTCATGAGGAGACCCTTCATGAACTGTTCTGCTTCTCTGACTTTGGCTGAGGTCTACAGTGGAATGGGAGAGAGTTCAGGGATGTGTGATCTGGGGGTGTTACATGGCCAGAGGCTGGTGCTCAAATTAGAGATTAAGACCGAGGGGTGGCAGGCCTGCAGTGCAGCTGAGGCCCAAGAGGTCACTGGGAAACACGAGCATCTTACGGGTAGCTGAAGACTAGCTTAGAGGGGCAGGCTCTTGAGGTATGCTGTTTTGTAAAAGCGCTCAGTACGGTTTTCTGAGAACAGAAAACTCACCCATGCCCAGGAGAAGGACAGAGGAGGACCTTGTCTTCATTTCCCGGCCAGAATTTAGGACGTTTGAACACTTGCCCACAAGTATGTGCATGTGTGCAGGCGGCTGCTCACACGGCGTTTGAGGGTTCCCAAGTATGAATTAATAAAAGAAGAAAAATGTGTGCTTTGAATTAGATCTACATGAAAACATCGAAAGTAAAAAAAAAAAAATGCAGAGCAGCGGCAGCTATACCGTGTGTTGGGGACACTGGCCCTCCACCGGGATTTCAGGGGAGTTAGGTTTCAACGTGTACAGAGTGAAAGTGCCCCATTTCTCAGACCTGGATTTCCTGGTCTATTTTCCCCTAAAGATAGGAATCTGAGCCCTCAAATGTCCTTTTTGGGCAAGGCAAGCATGTACAGCACTGCTCAGACTGAGAAACAGTTTAGATCCAAATATTACTGTAGGTTTGGCTCCTTCAAGAATTTCTTCCATTGCTTTGAACCAATAAATATTTAAAAAGTTAGGTTCTGAGCTCCAGAAAAGCCAACAAAAACATTTAAACATATGGATTTTTTTTTTGAAGTTGTGGTTAAACCATGCTCAATGGAGATTAGTTTACAGCTCTCTTTTTTTCCTTCTTTAGCTTTCTTTTTTCTATCTCTTTCTTTCTTTTTTTTCCTCTTTCTTTTAGGAAACCAGAAGGATAAACATGTTGCCATGGAGTTCTGTTTAAAATAAAATACAATGGAAAGAAAAGCAGCATGATTAAGTAACCACATGGACTGCAGGATACACCTGATACTAATTACTGTCACGCAGAATGTTCTGGAAGACATTTGACTCGCCTGATGTATACATTCAAATCAAGCAAACCAGGACTGGAAGGCTCCTTGGGGACCATCTTGTCCAAAGCTTTCCTTTTTCCAGATGAGGAAATAGGGGCCCAGAGAGGGGAAGGGCCTGGACCTCAGCCTCCCAGCTAGGAGGGAGCAGAGCTGGGATTCAAACCTGTGGTGGTGCTGTGTGGGAGACAAGTAATTTTCAGGTGCTTTTTTTTTTTTTCTTAAACCTCGTTGGGAGGCCCTGAGATAGAGCAAGAGTTCACTCTTGAGCTCCAGAAACCAGGCATCCCAGAATAATGCGGAGCTGGCTTTACGCAGGGGCCCAGTTTTCCTCATGGCCGCGGGACCTTGGAGAGTGAGAACGGAACTGGGTATCTGGAAATTTCTCCTAGGGCCAAGGCTAGAGGTTCCCACCAGAGCAAGAGCTCTTATCTTTCTGAGGCATCAGCAGCAGGGCTGCTGCGTGGGGCACCGTCTCTAAGACAGCCTCCAGGGGCCCCTAGTGCTCGGCTACTGATAACCTCTGGTGGCTGCCTCGGTTCCCACGCAGGAGCAGGGTGAGCGCAACCCCCATGACAAAGCGCGGCTGGCCTCTGCTCCCGAGAGGCTAGCAACTGGGCTGCCCGCGTCTGATAGGCCACGGGGGCCTGGCGACAGGGTCTCCTCACTGCTGATTGGCCCCGGCCAGCACCGGCTGTTTTCTAGCTATTAATACCAAGGCTAATAAACGTTCTCCTGTTGACCTGGTGCTCGCAGCCATGAATTTTGAACCTTCTTGACGTCTGCTTCTGGTGTGGGCTTTCCTGCCTCACGAGCCCTGCTTCCGGGACTCAAGTTTATGGGGATCCTTGAAGGCTCCACAGGCTGTAAAAGGGGTGTTTTCTTTTCCCTTCACCTGACATAGTCACGTAACTCCTACAGTACCCCCAAAGCCCCAACTCTTTATTTCTCCGCCAGCATGCATGTTTGTAAATGACGACCACCCCACACCCACCCGAGGCTTGGTGTCTGTGACCCGATGGCCAATTTTCACTTCCCCTGTCAGTAGCTGCGGGCTTAGAAATAGCCTTTCTCTCTTCTTCGCAGCCACGGGGTGTCCCGTCTGTACTGAGGCCACCTCGTGGGATGGGGGGTGGGGAGCTCTCGCTTCCGAGCTGCTTGCAACTCTCAAAGAAGTGCTGGGGGCCCTGGCCGGGCCTCCTCTGTGCTCTCCACTGGGGCCCAGTGCTCTTTCTCACCCCTTTTCTGTCACCACGCTCTCCATCCTTGTCCTCCCGGCTGCCACCCACCTGTCACCCTAAGATAGATCCTTAGTTCCTTTCAACAGTATTTTGACCTTTGCAAGAGGACATTTGATTGACGGCCCTGCCCGCTTTGCCACAGAGCGCGGGCAGGGCTGCCACCTGTTAGGGATTAACTCTCATGTGCAGTCGGGAGACGAGGCCACGCAGCCACATTCGGCCACAGCATGTGTCGCTGCCTGTCTCCCCAGGCGGTTGGGGAGGGGGCTCTTTCGGAGCGTATTTGTGGGGGGAATCACCCCAAGTTTGGGGGACGCCCCAAACTCCACCTGGGACCCAGTCCTCCCACAGAAAGTACTTTCCTCAGCGAGACACGACTTGTCTAGATTCGATTGCAACCCTGGCTAGGGGGGTACCCCCGGTTCACACGGAGGAAACGGACCCCCAGGAAGAGGAAGGGACATGGCAGGGTAGTGGGTACGCAGATGGACGCACACGGCACAGGACTCACTCCAGCTTTTCCTGACTCCCAGGTGTCCCCTGTCAGGGATAAGCCATCAGAAAGGCACGGTGGACTGGAAGGGGTGACAGCTGCCCGCTACGTGTGGGGACCAGTGATCTGGCGCGCGGTTCTCCTTTCCTGCAGTAAGAGCACCACTCTTTC